AGATCCCGGTCGTGTCCCAAGAGCAAGCCCTAGCTGAAGAGAGAACCAAAAAACTTACTTCGGCTACACCAACTCTCAAAGCGCCAACTTCTGGCCCTTCAAAAGCAAAGCAAAATGGGGCCGCCGATGGAGCAGCTGCAGCTCAAGCAACGACTCAGAAATTTGCCGAGGAGCTGGCACAAATCCCCGAACTCAAGGAATATGGAACTCTTCTCAAATCCTCATCACCTATCGAGCTTACCGAGCGAGAGACCGAATATGTTGTCACAGCCATCAAACATATCTTCAAAGACCATATCGTTGTACAGTATGACATTAAAAATACCCTTCCTGATACTGTACTCGAAGACGTGTCCGTTGTTGCAACTCCTTCAGAAGAAGAGGAGTCACTTGAGGAGGACTTCATTGTCCCTGCTCCAAAACTGGTACCGAACGAGCCTGGCCTAGTATATGTTGCATTCAAGAAGGCCGGTGGTGAACATGACTACCCCATCACATCATTCACAAACGTCTTGAAGTTCACTAGCAAGGAAATTGACCCCACTACTGGCGAGCCTGAAGAAACCGGCTATGAAGATGAATACCAAGTGGAGGATCTTGAGCTCACGGGCAGTGACTATGTTGTTCCAGCCTTTGCGGGCAACTTTGATCATCTCTGGGAGCAGACTGGTGCCAATGGCGAGGAAGCTAGCGAAACCCTACAGCTATCCAACATGAAGGGTATATCAGGTAAGATTAAGTATTTTTTTTATTCCATAACTATCGTACAATCTATTTGATTACTAATTTATGTTCAATCATAGATGCCACTGAGCAACTCATTGCTACTCTATCCTTGCAGCCCTTGGAAGGCACGGATGTCGTTCTCAATAACTCCACACATTCACTCAAGTTATATGGAAAGACTGTATCTGGAGGCAAAGTCACTGGCCTGGTACGGTTGGCGTACTCCGCAAAGTCTGGCGTCACCACCAAGATAACGATTCGAGCGGAAGAGGAAGGTGTTGCTGCCGCAATCATAACTTCAGTTGCATAAAGCCAGCGGCCCCCCTCTTTTATATCCTTGTCTCATTCACGTTGGTGTTTAGATGGGTAATGACTTGTTTGGAATTTCCTTTCTCACTTCCTGTTATCAAAAAGATGACCTAAGCGGTTTTCGATTCTTGTCGCTTATAATATGACCCGTTACTCCATCAATAACGTTCTCCTTGTCTTTGAGTTCCAACAAATATATCTCTTCCTAGCTTCTTCTATTCGTTTCTTTGGATTTCTTGTTGCGGTGGGATGTTGTCGTTGGTTGCGTGTAGATGTTGCATTTTGATCGAAACCTCTTAACGAGTAAATTCTTCACCTCAAAGCCCAATTCCAGAGGGGATATCCCCGCAATTCGGCAATAGAGATGGCTAAAAATAGTAGACACCGGTCTGGATTCTGCCGTTTTCAAGTTTCTCTTTATCGTAGTGTCCCGAATTCCTGGCATTCTCCATCAGAACTTTGTCCATCTCGAGTTCAAACCACTCAGACACATAGTCGATGCAAGACGCAGCGATGCCTAATAGCCGAACCCGTGGAAATGCAACTGCGCAAACCGCCTTAAGATCCCTTACCAACTCAACACGCAGTTTGTGTTCGAGTGGTAGAGGACTTATTTCCAGTATTTCCAGAGGAGCCATCTCGGGAGACATGGTAATAATCCTCCTATAGAAACCGGGATCGCACCCACAGCCTTGCAGGCTTAAAAACTTGAGCTTTTCCATCTGGAAACAAAGAGGAGCTAGAGTAGATACTTCGTCGGTTTGGCGACTGCTCAATATCCTAACGCGCTGAAGTCTATGGCAGGCGCCGTCGGTGGATAGTGTTTGGAGGATAGTGTTGAATGGGTAATGGTTGGATTCTATGATGGTCACAGCGGTAACTGTTTCCGGCCATATGAAGTTTCCCAGGATAATGGAGTCATGTACCCTCCATAGCTGTAGCCGTTTCAACTTAGGCGGCCATTGATATAGGGGAGGAGACCTTTCGTTATGAGGGTCATTTACTTTCGGCAATCCCTTGTGGGACATCTCTGGTGGGAACCGTAAGGTCTCCAGATGCTTTAGATTGCGTACAGCATGTGGTATACTCAGAAAAGGGACTATCGTCATTAAAACAGATAGATCAACTATCCTCAGGTTTAAGCATTTGCTCATGGGAGTTAAACTAATAGTCCTACTTCAATGATAAGTAGACGCACTTTGAAGATGACCTATATTGAATAAGGAAATGTAGGAAAAATTATCATCCCTTTACACCAAGAGTATGGGGTTTTAAACCGTTCATCCAAACTAAGGATGAACGGTGGCATTTACTGAGAGGTATAAAAATTAAGGAGTACTCACGAAAAGGTAGACGCAGGCGCAACGAAGACCTCGAGCTCTTCTTTACAGGCTCGTAGCAGCCTTGCAGTGACACTCTTGCTACCACTATGTGCAAGGCCCCCTAAATCAAGATGCTTAACAAAGTTGCCCAGGGGTTCTTGTATGTTATGCCTGGCTTTGCCACGGACATCTAGTGTTCCAGCAAAAGAGTCGTAGTTTCTCGCAGAGATGACTGGTTTTGAGTAGAGAAACGGAATGGCGGCGGAGTACCATTGCTGACAGACCAAGCAGCATGAAAACAGCGTCGACTGCCAGTTTTCATTCACCGTATCCTCGTCCGAAGCGAAGGAGAGGATGGTGATGACGATTTCAGTGGGGAGGAACGCCCCCTTGGTCTGGGGAGCCTTAGCCATCATAGCAAATATGGCTTCATGGGGCGTTTTATTGATATTTGGCCATGTTTGGAGCAAGATTATGGCGGGAGTCCAGAGACAGCGGTCAACGAAAACCTCATTGCTTTTGCATTTTATCGATCTTCTTTGCTTCTCAAAAGTATTTTATCCCTTCGAAAAAGAAAAAGCAAAGTCGCCAGCTGCAAGTCGATCTTGACGTTTTGAAACTTTGTCGGGCCGAGGCTTAGGTCACGTGGATGGACCCTGTCGCGCGGGAAGTGTTATTTCTGAATAATGCTTAACCTACATCCTTCACGGAGACGAAGCTCGGCGGTTACGGCGACGGGACAAGAGGTGTATAGGTATCACGCTCAGGGGTGTTATGTCGTGGGTGTGCACCGGTGATTTGACGGGGAGAAGAGATATATAATCCACGTTCTTGTATGAAAACTACGATGCAATTAAGACGAATTCCTTTCCCCGTGGGCGTTTCTGGGGTTCCCCGGCCTCGCCTGGTCACTCGTTCACTTGCAGCTTCATACATCCAACGGGGTTTCAAGACATCTCCAACCGCCCCTTTGGAAGCTCCCAACTTCGCATTTGCTTTTGAGTGAGATTTATTCCAATCTAGATGTTACTCCCGAGCCCAAGGACTAATACAAGTTGTCAGTATAGATGGTGTCCTACTTCGAGCCTCCAGACCCCTCCCGGGCGCTTCACAGTCTCTATCTCTCCTACAAAGACAACGAATACCTTTCATATTGCTCACAAACGGAGGTGGCATGTCAGAAGAGGAAAGAATCGCTCAGTTGAGTGATAGACTAGGGATACCGCTGGACCCAGAGTTGATAATTCAAAGCCACACACCATACACACAGCTCGTGAGAGGGAAACATGACCAGGAACCGCTGGAAAATAAGACTGTTTTAGTGGTCGGTGGAGACGGTGACAAGTGCCGGGATGTTGCCAAACAGTATGGTTATCACCATGTAAACCCCTCCGGATTCACCTCGCGCTAACATTGCATAGGTATGGGTTTAAGTCCATGCTAACACCCGGTGACATATTTATGGCCCATCCATCCATTTGGCCATTCTCTTCGGCCTTTTCACATTATTATGAAGGGATCACGAGACCACTCACCAACTCGATAGATCCTATTGATCCTTCAAAGGGCCTCAAGATCGATGCAATCCTTGTTTTCAATGACCCACGAGACTGGGCGCTTGATATCCAGATCATTATCGATCTTTTACTCTCACGAGAGGGCATTGTCGGGACAATATCGGACAAGAACAATAGGGATGATCTTCCAAATCGTGGTTATCAGCAAGACGGCCAACCAGCCCTATATTTCTCCAATCCTGACCTACTCTGGGCGGCTGGTTACCATCAACCTCGTCTCGGCCAGGGAGGCTTTTGTGCAGCCCTTGAAGGTGTTTGGTCTGCAATGACGGGCGGATCTGAGTCCGGCGTGACATTGCTGAAGACTATGATTGGGAAACCGCATAAGTTGACTTACGACTTTGCTGAGCAAAGGTTAATAGAACTAAGGAATAAGCGTTTCCAAACGGATGTTCCAGCTCCCTTGGAGACCATCTATATGATTGGTGACAATCCAGAATCTGATATCAGGGGAGCCCATTCGTACATCAGCTCTACTGATGTGAATTGGGTCCCCGTGCTAGTAAAGAGTGGAGTGTACACAGGTGGAACGCCTACCTGGACCCCCAAGACTATAGTTGATGGGGTTGGAGAAGCTGTCAGTTGGTCTCTAGCTCAGTCGAACTGGAAGCAACATCTCTCGGATAAATAAGGACAAAGAATGTTTTGTTTTGATGGATACAAATAGAGTATAGATTTTAGGGAAACAGAGATATTCATTGCAATATGGGATGTTTGCTTACCATCATAGAGTTTGAAGATGCTGCACGGCGTTTTCTTGTGTAGTGCCGAAGCTGAATAAGCGACAATTCGGGTCTTATCCACGGGTCCAACCAATCACAACTATTAAATACATAAAATACAGGGCTCTGAGTACTGAAATAAGCTTTAAGGGTGGGATGACTCATCACGTGCCTTTTTTCAATCTCGCGGGGAGTGAAAGTGACGATGGAGTTTTATACGATTTGAACACGGTTATCGCTCCAGCTTCTTGTTAGCATTCTTGCATTCGGTCGTCTGCTAGAGGATAAGGCCCTTCCGATATCCTTCAATATTCGATCAATTCCTGACACACCACAGCCGAGCGATGGATAAGCCTACCGAATCTACTCTACCCCTCCACACCAAGGAGGAGGGAGACAAGCAACCTGACGCTGAGAAGCCCGCAGCGCAGGCAGAGGGAGAAGCAGCAGGACCCAGCAAGAATGCGTTAAAGAAGGCTGCAAAGGAGAAGGCAAAGGCGGAAAAAGCAGCTCAACGAGCAGCCCAACAGCAAGCAGCCGCACAAGCCAGCCAGGCCGAGGACACGGCAACGCATCTATATGGGAAGATGCCGGATTCCGCAGAGGTTGAGGACGTCATGAATCTCATGAAGCTGTCAGATGAACATTACGAGAAGGAAATCACTGTTATTGCGCGTGTGGACAATGCTCGCGTGCAGAGTGCCAAACTAGCATTCCTCATGCTCAGGCAGCAAGGAAAGAAGATTCAGGCAGTGATAGCGCTAAAGGAGCCATTGTCCAGACAGATGATCAAGTGGACCGGTCAATTGAATGTCAACTCCATCGTTCAGGTGTCTGGTGTGGTCAAGAAACCGGAAATTCCCGTTCATTCCGCTTCGCTGCCAAACATGGAACTTCATATCACCAAAATATACATGATATCGGAAGCAATCCCAATGCTTCCCATGCAAGTCAAGGATGCTGAAAGGCCTCCGCCAGAGTCCACCGAAGAAGGACTAGTTGACACTGATGGGACTCCTCTCGTCACTTTGAAAACCCGTCTTGACAACCGAATTCTCGATCTCCAAACCGAAACAAGCCAGGCTATCATGGCCATATCCAGTGGTGTTGCACAGTTGTTTTCGGAGTATATGTTGAAGAGTGGGTCAAGATGGATTTTCACATCTAAGATCACTGGAGCTGCCACCGAGGGAGGCAGTGGTGTTTTTGAGATTTCTTACTTTAAGCGCAAGGCGTATCTCTCTCAGAGTCCTCAGTTGGGAAAGCAGATGTGTATTGCCGGTGATATGATGAGTGTGTTCGAGATAGGACCCGTCTTCCGAGCTGAAGACAGTAACACCCATCGTCATTTGACTGAGGTAAGGCAGAATTTGCTCAGCTTGATTATTCTTCCATCCCAAACTAACAACAAATTTTAGTTCATTGGTCTCGATTTTGAAAGGACATTCCAAAAACATTACCACGAAGTATTGGATTTCGCCGAAAATCTCCTTGTTTTCATCTTGTCCGAACTCAAGGTCCGGTTCAAGGACGAGATTGCTGTTGTCCAAAAGTCTTATCCCAAGGCCGGAGAGTTCAAGCTTCCAAAGGATGGAAAAGCGCTTAGACTTAAGTATATGGAGGCTTTGGGTTTCCTGAAGGAAGTGGGTGTGGATGTCTCTGAACAGGAGCGGTTCGAGAATGACTTCACCACAGCTATGGAGAAGCAACTTGGAAGAATCATCCGTGAAAAGTACGATACCGACTTCTATGTCGTAGACAAATTCCCAAGCGCTGTCCGTCCTTTCTACACCAAGTCCTGCCCTGACGATCCCACCTTCTCGAACTCTTATGACTTTTTCATGCGAGGCGAGGAAATCATGTCAGGAGCTCAGCGAATCAATGACGCGAAGGAATTGGAAGAAGCCATGGTTGCAAGAGGAGTTGAGCCCAACCAAGAAGGATTTGAGGACTATATCAACGCCTTCCGACAGGGCTGTGCTCCCCACGCTGGTGGTGGATTGGGATTGAATCGTATTGTCCAATTTTTCCTAGGTCTGCCTAACATTCGTCTGGCAACCTTGTTCCCCAGAGATCCCCAGAGATTGCGACCTTAGACATAGCATAGATTCAGCTTTGTGCCCATGGGTGTTCTCTTTATTCATATTATGAAGAATGACATAGAGAAAAGTCCAAAATATGTTGATACTGTAGCTTTCATATAAGATTAATGCGGCTCTTAGTTACTAGCGTCCGAGGCGCTTTAGCCGAAGTCTTTTTAGCTGGCTTCTCCAGTACCAAAACATCTTTTCGTTTGCAACTCTCCGTCTACCACCAACCGACATAAACTCACCATGAATTAAACAAGGACAATGGTGAGTTGGACAAAACCAAGCTGCTACCTGAGACATGGCTGAGAAACGCAAACTGTCTCCTTCAGATGGCTCGCCGTCTACAAAACGAATACGGCCAGCTATCGTCACAGAAGATGACATTAGCGAAGACGAGTCGCCTTCAAGGCCGCAATACCAGCAGCCACGAAGTGACCCTGTGTTTGGCCAAAGGCACGCATTTCCGGGTTTAGACGATGTCTCACATGATGGAGAGCTCTTCTATGGCCCGGCAGATGATGGTATTGAGTATCTGCGGATGGTCAGGTTAGTGACTCTTTTTCCATATCAGGGGTTTCATTTCCATTAATTCCATCTAAAGCTCCATATACCTTTCTTATATTCCCTTTCATACCTAGTAAAGGTGAGAATATGGGCTTGCTTGGTTGGCGGCTTTTAGCTAACCTCTTTTTCCTGTTATTATAGATCTGAAGCCAGGAACCTTCCTGTGTTCTTCGTTGCAAAGGAGAAACTCGATCCCCAGATAAATAAGGACGGTCGCCATCCTACAAGTGCAGATGCATCCTCTAGTGGAACGCCTCAAGAAACGGAGCAAAAATGGATATATTCGGATGGCGTCTGTGCGGCAGTATCAAATACTGTCCCGGAAAGCCAGCTAGGAGCGGTTAATTCAGCACCTGAAGACCCTCAGGAACAGTACTATATTCTCCTCCGACATCGGTTTCTTCTCCTACGCTCTACCCTAAAATGCGTTCCTCCAGCCAAACTCATCGCCGCTCTCGATAACTCGCATCCTATATCTTTGCCAGCGGATAACCCTCGGGCTAGAACAGAATGGACGACACTAGTTAAAACTGTGGAGCCTCAAATGGTGCAGCTAGCTTGTATGGATCTTGACAGCGTTTTACGGGTTTTACGAATTGTGACAAGATCTCTGTCTGAGGCTGCTAAAAGCCCAAGTTGCTCGTGGACCACGAGAATAGCTGCATGGGCATGGGGACTTCTTGGACGATGTAGAGATGTGGGTGAGATGAGCAGCGAAGAAGTTGGTGAGCTGAGAGATCTGGGAAAGCGAGCGGGAAAGATATTAAGTAAAATCCGTGAGAAGGAATCCCAGGTTATGCTCTCGAGTGGAGTAGAGGGTAAGAGTATAGCTGACAGGCAGAGCTCGGACTGGGATGATGGAGATGAAGCAGAAGATATGCAAGAAGAGGCTGGAGAAGACATCACTGTCCAAGAACAAAAGGACGATCCCATCAGAGACGAAGCCAAGGATATGTCTGCTGACGCTGAGGATGAATCTGAGACTCTAGAGCTTGCTAAGAAAAGGCTACAAGGGATGCTTTCCAGTAGCTATGCAGAGGTTTCTGAGTCGGAACAAGCTGCTCCTTCAACTGCCAACGAATTGGATACCAACAAGGGACATCAGTTGCCCAAAAGCGAGTGGAAATACAACGCCCGCGCAATGCTTGATATGATATTGACCATTGTTGGAGAGTTCTATGGTCAGAGGGATCTCCTTGAATTACGTGATATCTGGGATGAATGAGGTCGAGGGTCGATAATAAGTAGAGCTTGGTATTCACCCCGGGCTGAACTATCTATATCCTATCCAGCCTTACCTTTTGTTATGATAATAGACGGCAATAGCTAGCATCTTGTCTAACACACAGGCTTCTAAACATGTAGGCGTTCCCATCGAGAATACTCCAGAAACTAAGCGTGTGATCCCTTCCCGCTCTTTGCTTATTCCCTGCCAAATCTTCTTGGTAGGTGTGGATGGAACTATAAAATCACACCCCTGTCGCTCGCTGTGTCATGTGATCTTGTTTTGGACGTCATAAGTTCGTTTGAGCCGAGAGACCCAACAACTCACAACTGCATAGACGGTGTGCTGTCCAGAGCTCAATACTGTATTATTTAGCGCTCAAGTCGAGCTTGGATTAAGTGTTGACCGCAATACCCAACTGTTTCACATAATATAGGCAGGTTTACCATGGCTTCGAGCCCTGAACTCTCCATTCCTTCCACGAGCATATCCGATACGCCGAAACCTTACACTATATACAACATTTCAATCCGTCTACCTCTCCGATCACAGACAGTCGAAAAGCGATACTCTGACTTCCTCAAGCTTCATGAGTCACTTATCAGCCAGGTCGAGAAACCTCCACCAGCACCGTTGCCTAAAAAATCCTGGTTTTCAGGCACCACATCGAACGCAAAGTTTCGGGAGGAACGCCGCAAGGGTTTAGAAGAATACATACAGGCTATCAACGGTTCTGAAGACTCTCGGTGGCGCAACTCTACAGCGTGGCGGTCATTTTTGAATCTGCCTCCCAATAATGCGTCCGCACGAGCTTCCAACTTACACTCGGCCATCGCTGGGCCTGGGGCAGCAGGAGCACCGATTACTGACCCCACAACCTGGCTAGATTGCCATCGAGATGTTAAGACACATTTACATGATGCGAGGCTACACTTGACTCGACGCGATCAATCTTCAACTCCCCAGAAACAACATGAATGCTCCGCATCAGCCAAAAGCAGCCTTGTGAGAACTGGCACTTTATTGGGGGCCTTGGAAGAAGGGCTGAAGAATATATCCGGGAATTCTGCCTGGAGCGGCTCAAAACTTGGAGAAGGAGAAATTCGTCGACGTAAAGACCTGCTTACCAGCGCTAGAAAAGAAAAAGATGCGCTAGAGGACCTCCTAAATTCAATGGCTGCCAAGAACAAGCTGGACTCAGCTGTGGCTTCTATTCCAGATAAACAGGCCCTTTTGGGTATAGATGCAGCTACAGGGAGTAGAAAATCTGCAGTTAAGGGTGGTCGGGTCCTGGGGAAGGAGACTAACCGCACGCGGGAGCTGGATAACGAAGGTGTTCTACAACTGCAGAAACAAATCATAGGTGAACAGGACACTGGTGTTGAAGAAATAAGGAAGATAATTGCACGGCAAAAGGAACTTGGAATTGCGATCAATAATGAGCTTGAGCTCCAGCTTGAGCTTCTAAACGTTGTTGATGAAGATGCTGGAAAGTTAGTATTGCCCTTGGTCAACTTGCTTTTTCCTAGTACCGTACATCCCTTCATACTAACAGGTTTCTATTTAGGCTCAAGAGTAAAATCGATATTGCACAGAAGAGAACAAAGAAAATATCCTAATCAGCTTTCTCTGATTAATTTTCAGTTACTTTAGTTATGTTTATTATAATACCCTACTTCCAGGCCGTTCTTACTGAGCGCTAGGATTCGTTATATTTGAAGCAGGCGTTTCGTTGTGATATAGATTGAAGCTAGTGGATTCTACTTGACTTTGCCAAATGCCTGCCCATCTACATAGAGCCTACGTAACCACCAGCAGCTAGATATCCAGTATCTTTCTGCTATTTTGACTTTGATGACAAAAACTATTTGACAGCGTATGTTAGTTTGTAACAGCAAATATGCGGGTTGGGATTGGATATATGCATACCTCCTTCGCTTCTTGTTCTGTAACCTTCGATATCTCTACCAGCTTGTCATCGATGAGGCCAATCCTTTTCTTCCGAATAAGCCACCAAAGCTCTCTCCTATCTTCGCCTAATTTATCATCCAGCAACTTCCGTTTTAATTCGCGAATAAAATCGTTATATAAATCTGGTTCTTCGAAGGAAATCAGTTCATCCCTCATGGTTCCTATGTATTCAACGACTCTGTCATAGTTGGCATCGCCCAGGCTGTGCTTGATTTGGTTCTCAATAATCGCGCACATCTGTTTTACAGACTTCTTGACGGTATTGATATCATCCGTGTTCGCAAGCGCTTGTTTGAATTCGGGTATTGCATTCTCTGGGGAAATTCTTTGGCGCTTTTCGCCTTGTAGAAGGGCATCCACGTCCAGTCCAGAGAGTGGCTTATCGGTGATCCTATTTCTTTTGCGGCCCTTCACCTTTGGTGGAACTATAATGGCTGTCAGTAGGAAGATATGGTGAGAAGAGGGTGGGGTTAGATCCCCTCGTCCTACTCTTGGGATGATGGGGTTTTAACTTGCCTTTCTTAACATCAGATGCTTTGATTAGTTGCTCCAATGCTGACTTGCTTTGTTCCATCAACTCGTCAGGTTGACGGGACTGTTTCTGGAGAACTTTCGGGATTGGGGGAAGTGGCTTAGTAGGATGGATAGCACGCCATCGAATGGCCTGGTCAACCCTGTGTAAAAGCGGAGAGTAACAATCCTGAAGAGCAAAGGACTCGACTTGACCACTGCTTAAATTTTAGTACTCGCCCTGCTTTAAGGGGTCCATTGATTTGGTGTTTCCTTACCCTTCTTCTCCAGGCTGGACAAGCTCCATATTTTCCACATATTTTTCCATAGCCGCTAAGAGATTTTCGTTTGGCAGGTTTCGATGCTCCTTGACAACTTTTCCGGACATGGTAGTAACCCTATCCAGGGGTGGGAAACGATAACAGCGGACATCTTCTGCAAACGGTAACTGGACCTCAAGCAAGCACTCATAGTCGGGGTCAATTGAAGGAGCTAACAAAACTAAGGTAGGAGATTTGCCATCTTTAGTAACTAGCCGTCCCACGGCATAGCTTTCGACTTCGTGAAGAGCATTTATAATGGAGGAAAGAGCGATGATAGCTTTGTTGTTGGTCCTCTGGGCGATAATAACATTAGAATTCGACATGTTCATGTATCGATCGTACTATTAGAACATAGTCAGTGAAAGGCAATTTGTATATTATCAAGATAGATTTGATGATAAAACAGACATTTTCAATTGGGATAAATCCAACTATCTCCAACGCAGCCTTTGTTTCAAGCTTCGTTATATTTTCGTCCGAGTCAGTGATATGCACCGCCGTCCGGCCATACTCGTATCCTTTTGCAAGGGCATCACGCTCCACGTCTCTCTTGCCGCCCACTACTCCACTGTCAGTGACTTGGTAAGATCGCGCATTTCTGACACTTGTTAGTTCGTTTGAGATGCTCTTTCCAGTGTCAGTTCTCGCGTCCTTCAAATTTGCTGAAGAATCTCCAGTTTCCTGAACTTCTGGGGGTGCACCAGATAATACGAATGAACTAGCAGGTGGTGGTCGGGCCGCATACGTTCGAAAGTACCTTTCCACCTGGATTGTTAGTGCAGAATCATACTTGTCTGGGTCTCCGAGTTTGAAATCCCCTTTAAAACTGGGTATTCCTCGCACAACCTTAACACGTGGGGTATCAAGCTCGGATATCGCTTGTTCCAAAGTACCATAGACACCATCACAGACATCACATAGTTTTTGAAGTGAAGACTCATTCTCGGCCTGGAAGCATCAGTAGGGAAGAAAGATAAAGCTGTTGTGAGAAAATTACCTTAACTGCATCCTTGTCTTCTTCTTTAACGCCGAAGTCAAGGTCATCAAAGTCCACCCCGCTAGATAAGATTAGATATAAAATGAAGTCGGATTCATGGTGGAATTGGCGTACAGAATAACAAGCTCAATACCCTCTTCTCTTATCTTTCCTGCAATAGTGTCCATGCCATCAAGGTCCATAGGCCCCTTTCCGTTCGTAACAAGGACAATTTTTCTCTTGTATTTAAGCTTCTTGCAATATTTGGTTATCATGTCAATTGCCAATATAATCGAAGAAATTGCTGGAACGTCGTTCGAGTTAGCAAATCTTATGTGACAGGAGAGGGATAGGCATGTATCTCATACCATCGCCGTTATCTGTATTGCTGGGTTTAATCAAGCTTCGAAGCTCCTTAAGATCAGGCATGAGAGCTCTAAGAGAAGTATTAGACCCATCTAACCCTCTAGGCTTAACGAAGACATACTGGCCAATTTCCTTGAAAATTGATATATTTTTGTACGAATTATCTTTGGATTTGGTCCACATGTCACTCGAGGTACCTTGCTAAGTTAGAGCTCGGCTAGAACAAGGGGAGTGAAGTACTCTACCATCTGTTCTCAGGCCGACAACACCAATCGTTGCCGTTTTCCTACCTGTAGCAATCTGTATATAGGTATTTAGCATTTATCTGGGGAGAGACGCGTTGTCAATTCCCATACCGTAGTGGTAATCCTGTCCCAAACGTAGAGCATTGCCCAGTCAAGATCTGAGTACTCTCTCCCATTGTTCATCTCCCCCATGGACCTCCCGACGTCCACAATGTAAACAGTGGCTTCCTTGTCCGCCATATTAATGAAATCGTGTCAAACAGCCACGATATCGAACAACTCAGGACTCCCGTTCTTTTCAAAGCGGGCAGAGTTAGACAAGTTCACACATACAACAGGCTCCTTCGACGTTAACAAAGGCTTAGTAAGCTAGGCAGACGCGCAGGACAAACACGCCAAGCATCAATCAAGTATCAGATAAACACGAACTCACGTGATACAATTTTCCTTGGCCAGACGTCATAGTTTCTGCAATCGCCAACTTTCCCAGATCAGCTACAAACAACAACTCTTCATCTCAATTCTGTCAGTGCTTAGAAACCCCAAGATTAGGCAGAGGAATAGAGACTAATACAATGCCTGAACGATCTTCTATGCTGGCTCCGGCCCATATTCTGAGGTGTGCATGGCGATAATCCATACTTCTAACTATCTGGTGGATCTAGACTAATCTGAGGTGTAGCTATGGCTCCTTGCTAGGATTTCAGTCCTACCAGGTAGGAGCTCTCCGTCTGTTATATACGCTGTTGTACTAACCCAAGCTGTAGACGTTTGTCAGTGGCATAATTGCGTTTAGAACGCTTCCCAGACCACAGTTCTCGACTCTCCAGTCGTCTATTTTCCCGGTTTATTTCGGTCTGCAAACTGCAGTGCCACTCGTGCTTGCTTTGACCTACCCTGGTGAAAAAGTCGCTGGGCGCTTTGGAACCTCAGGTCTTTCTGGAGTATCTTCTGAAAGCAACCGATGGAACACCCTTGTTCCCATTATGACCACATTTTTGGGCGGGATCACCAACTTGTTGGTTATCCAGCCGGCAACCGCAAAAGTAATGCGCCAAAGAAAAGAGCAAGGTTGGTATCCGGTTATAAACTCTTCTCTTAAATGACCTAAAATAGCTGCTAACTGATTGATTAGAATCCATTGACGGAAAGAAATACACAGATGCTGGCCCCCACTCGAAGGAGATGATGAAACTAAACAAATCATTTGGGAAGCTTCACCAACTCTCTGCTGTGGTTAACCTCGCCGCACTAGCTGCCACCATCTATTATGGTGTAGTTCTTGCCGAGCGCCTCAACTAGAACCTTAGGGAAGGCATCACGGCTTCCATTTTATACGCTCCGACTTGCTATGCCTAACTGGCTGCCTCCTATATGATTTCATGTACTACCAAAGCATCCGGATTGCATGATATGTAGCTGGATCTTACACTAAAAAAAGGATATTCTGGATTTCTTTATGAGTTACTTTGCTACATCTATTTAATCAACATATTCAAAATTAGGGATATTCATTCTTAGTGATAACTAATACTTATTACTAAGTACTAAGTACTAAGGCCTAAAAGTAGGATGCATTTTTTTTCCTACTTTTCTTCGTTTGGCAATAATATGCCGAAGTGTATGTATCTCATAGTTAAAAATGAAGTTGCTTTGGGACCATAGGAACTTGACTCGAGGGATATCACGTGTTTGTTTAACTAGTCACCTAGTTAGGTAACTAACTAGTTAAGCTTGATTGGTTGGTTTCGATTCTTTGCTATAAAAGTTTCAGTCTTTCTCAACATCAACAATCAAGATATGCAAACAAGTACAAGCAATTCATTATCCAGTCTGTTGTCCTCAGTACTTTATCATTTAACTAATCAACTAGAATAACCCTGAATGGCGCTGCTTCTTGGCAACACCACTTTCCAACCCCACAAAAGGCGAAATGGACCTTATGAACAACAACCTCAATGCAGAATCCTGGATATGAAAGCAGGGAATTAATGATGTGCTCGTGGGTATATTTCAATTATTTTACAATGGCTTACTTGGCTTTGATATCCTTGATGATCCATCATTGTTTGCTAAACAAAGGCCGAAAGTTATATCGTCTGCGGGTCTTAGGACCGCCAGATCAATCAGTTGGGATTCGTTCCTGTCCTTCGCTGGATTCTTTGATACCCTGGCATACTTGTCTGCTCATGAAGGTATTCATCTATGTATGGAAGCAGGTGGAATACAAAAGATATTGTCAATGCACAATATTTTATTTGTTTGACTTCATGGGTCATTACACTATATATTTTCTTCTTTATTGTCAGTGGAAGCTTTATACTAACCCTTCTTTAAGCTGTGTGATAACACCTGCTCAGAGGGAATCTAATGAACTTCTTGTACTTTTGGGGATCTCCAGTGGTATAAGTTCCTGACCTTCCTCACTTTACTTTTCCTCTACTAATGCAGGCCACTTGAATACACATTCTCCTACAACAACACTATCGGTTCCAACCTACTTACAGGTAGATTAGTACCTGTAGGTTTTCAGGCCTACACATAGCTACGAAAATAGGATTTTGCTTCCATTAGATCAACGTCGATTTGCTGTTTAACCCGAGGACGGGCCTCAGTGATGGAGCCTACTATCATCTTTGGGTTATTTACCCTTTTCACTATATACGGCCTTTGGTATCCCATCCCGTTAACAATGATAAACCCACGTTTTCCATTGCCTGCTAGAATTGCTGGAACTATTCAGTTAACAGCGACGACAAATTCCGCGGTCTCTATGTTTCGAAATGTCATGTGCCCAGAGTCGAATCCACGTCCTTCCTCAAACGAATCTCTGCCGAATAACATCATCCCTTTAATCAACGACCAGCTGCAAGAGTTCCTTGATAAATGGGATTACAAACTCGAGAAACACATCACAGAAAATGCAGAACGTCCGATTTCTACAGTCACATCATATTCTACTCCGACACCCACGTTGCAAGCTATGATGGCCAACATCATAGAGCCACAATCATACCCAGCCCCTCTGGATTATAACAGTTGGGTTGGGTACACATTCTATCAGTTCGCAGAGAAAGAAGTGAGACGCAATCCTAATATGTACACCTTGGCTGCTATTTTCATACTGGTAAACTATTGGCTTGTGCGATCTGTGCGAAGGCCCGAAGTCCGCGAGGAGCTCGAAGCAGTGAAGGAGGTACCCATTGATAAGATAAAGGAATTGCGTGGTGAACTTATTGCTCACAATGCTCGATTACATTTGGTCGAAGTCAAGGTCGAGGGTCTTACTTTGGCTGATGACCAGCGTCGGTTTTCGAGGACTGCTTCTAGGCAGATTCCACAGGTGGGCGAATCTGAGCAGGCCTCAGCGGAAGCCCAGACATCACCAGGCATATTACCGGCCAGCCAGCCAGGAAAGCCCGAATTTGATTCTCTTCAAGAGCAACTAACAGAAATGAGACAAGATCTTGTTTCTTTGAAAAGCAACTCGGAAACACGCTCAGAACACCTTTCAGAAAACATTGCTTCTGTTATGAGCACAATTAAAGAGTTGCAAAAGGAATCTGAGTCTACTTCGCGGACTAGAATAGTGAACGACGCGGTCTCAGTCAAAAAGAGTGTATTCGAAGACCTTAAATCAGAACTGACGCCTCTTAGTGACCGGATATCTGACATTGAGGCCTATTCTTCTTCATCACGAGGGGAACTGGGAAGATTTGCTATCCAGGTATCGCAAATCATGGAAAGTATAAACGTTCTAAGAAGGGAATTTGAAAAGGTCAAGCGCAAACTTCCGGCTGATTTAGCTTCAATAAAAACCGAAATGTCCAGGGAACACAAGTTAGAGTTTGATGCTGTTGAAAAGCAGATAATCGAGCTGAGGCGAACAGCTTGTTTATCAAGAGATGAATTGGATGATCACCTTTCACAGCGGGTATCTTCGATAATGGGCATAATCAACGAAGCGAAAGAAGATCCCGCAAGCGGTGCTCCTATCGACTCTGTCAAAAAGGAAATGGCTAGCCTTAAGTCTTCCTTGAAGGTTGTTGAGCAAGCAGTGAAAGAAATAGGAGACGAAACAAAGAACCAAGATGTACACCATCTTCGAGTTTCTCTAGAGGCTTTACAGGCAGAAAGTACTAGGTCGTTGCAAGAATTATCCAGCCGTTTGGATATGGCGATGCAAGACATACAAGTGGAATCATGGAGAGTTAAACATCAACAGTTTGACCAATGGATTGCTATGGTTGAAAGTAAGCTTCAGGGGTTGGAACACCGTGCGCTAACTGAAAGCAATCTACTCCCCGTTCTATCACAATTGGAGGCGTTGAATACCAAAGTTGATCTTAATGATTCTTTGTTCAAGAGGGTTGAAGATGAATGTGCCACGAAGTTCGAGCAGAAGTCTCTTTATGCGGATGTCAAACATCTTGAAGGACGAGTGAATCAGTTAGAATCTATTCCTCAGAAAGATCCGTCCAGTACTATGAAGGAGGAGCATATAATTAAACTGAGGGATCTGGGCAAAAGTTGTGTGGATCTCAGGTCAGAAATTGGTGAAATCAAAGATACCCTCACTACATTAATATCGGATGAGATTCCCAAACATCGCTCAGAAACCCTCGATAAGCTTACCGAATCTGTTCGACTAAGTACATCTCAAATTGAGAAAGATATCGAGGCTCGTTATGCTCATAAGGAGGATGTACTCAAGTGTTTAAATTCTCTTCAACTAGATGGGAAAAAGCCTATTGACCTGCAGCGCCTGAAGAAGGATCTTTCTGAGATTGAAAATTATGCATACGCCACTCAAAATAACTTGAATCTAGCAGTTGAAAGAATAACTGACAATGAGCAGCATATTGAAACTTTACGCGAGGGTAACGCTACCAACTACAAAGATATTCGCCGATGTCTAGACAAGCTAGGGATATCTGGTACCATCGTGCCTCTCAGTGCACCTATTAAGCCAAAACCAGTCCCCGGAGAATCGAAGCCACCCGTCCACATTGACTTATCTGTGGGGAATAAGTTCAACTCACAGGTCTCGTCCAGTTCACTAGATCGAGGTGATAAGAACATCAGTCGGTTCGACCCAAGGTACAAGGGAGACGACAAACCTGTTGGTTCTGATATCGAGTCTAACCTGTCTAAACGTTCTAAGTCCTTGAAAAAAACAGGTCAAGACAAGAATATCAGTCGGTATGACCCAAGATACCAGGGCAGTGACAAGTTTAGAAAATCTTTTCCCGAGCCAGGATCTTCAGAAGCATCTAAAGCAGAAGGAAAGCTGAGTCCCACGCCGGACTCGTTTGTGGAGCGCCCAAAGAGTAGTGGGGATAGGAGTCGGGCGTCAAGAGCCAGTGTTGCCCAGTCAGAGTCTGCAGGAAAGGAAAAGACTGAAGTCGAAATGACGACGGCAAAAGAGAAGCCTGAAGAGGGTGAAGATGCTATAAAATCTTTGGTCGAAATCACGTCGCTCCAGGAGCAGCAATCAGAGAGAGAGGAAAAGGATGTAGACTCCATGTCTCTCTCAGACGATAATGGCGACGATGCTCCTGATCCTTCTGCTGAACCAGTTTCTAGCAAATCGCCGGAGGTTGCAGCTACAACCGAGTCTGAAGATAAAATGGAAATGTGATTCTATCTGTATATATGGAATAGGAGAACAAGTTCCGAACCAACAAGACCAATTTCTCTTTTCCCTTCCAATAACATGCGTGTGATAGTTATATCACTGCTTACTTCTCCATTAGCAGGTAGATACTAGACAACACCTTATATCCCGTAAACTCTACAGTAGTCGGTTATACGTGCAATCTAGGTACAGAAATTAACTCCAGTGGCTCTTCTCTTCATATAAACTAGGCTTCGTAGCTTATTTCCCTGAAGGGCTCTGAAGTGCATGGAAGTATGATGGAATGTTAACTAGTTTTCAGAATCAAAAACATATTTTCTACATGCCACCTTAAGCAACTCAATGCGCTGTTGCGTGTGGGTGAATACTTCGCTGTACATACCCACGTTCTGTCTTACTACCTCTGCTTTCGTTTTGGTCCCAGAACATATATCTCCCATTCGCAGTTCCATTTCTTTTCGAAGGAATGGCTTCGTGAGGCTAGGGCAATCAGGCAAGCCAGCAACCACATTGTCATATCCTTCAACAAGAGCAACCCCAAGCTTCGTAGGGATAAATTCATCTACCCTTCCGCCAGATCCTCTGCCACCACCGCGAGGGCGAGTTGCAACATATTCTCTGGCCTTGATTTTTGATATATGCTCAGCCATAGTAGCGTCGGTACCAATTCCATTCGCATCCATGAGCCCAATGAGTTCCGGCTCGGTAAGATATCCGGGGGCAACCGTTTTCCCTTCTGTAATATTCGCTTCTTTTGGCTCAAAGGATTCGTTCAGAACAAAATTCGGTAGCGGTTGGCTGCTCTCCCATTTGTCATACACATAGACGTCCAGATAGTTTCGTTCTAAGACGACGAGGCCCCGAGTATGAAACTCTTCATCCCCATATTGTATTTCAATGTCCGTCGACTCGCCTTCCGCATCCTCAGAGCAGCAGGCTAAAAATCTCCGGGTTACAAACTCATATACTTTTTCCTCATTGGCATTGAGCACCGTTGGAGAAACATAGGCCACTGGGTGAATTGGTGGATGGGCTTTATCATTGTTTCGACCCCGACGAGGTTGTTTGAAGCCACCGCCTATAAGTCTGTAATTAAAAATTTCGCAATACAGCGCGAGGGGTTAGTGTGGAACTCTGCTAGAATGGTGTTTGTGGAGAACACTGACCCTCTTGCGTATTCGCCCCATGCTTCACTTGGGTATTGTTTCTCGACAAGTTTTTTCAAGTCAATCTCGTTATCAAACTGGTCGGTTTCGGTACGAGGATAGCTAATAAACCCCTTTGTATAGAGGGTTTCGGCGGCCTTATACATCATGAGGCAAACGAATTAGAAAAGGTTCAGTTCAAACTCCTCGCATGTTGTAGCGCAAACCTTCATAATTGCTTGACTATCAATTCTCAAGTATTTACTTCCCATCATTTGGAGGTCAACGGTAGTTAAAGGAAGTGGTCTCCATTTGCTGGTCGGTTTTTTGTTAACTTTAGTAACAGTGGCTATTTTGGCTGCCAGGCATCGCTCAAAGAGGACTACCACTGCGGCTCGGTCAAAAAGATGCCCACGTTGCCAATTGAAGTTCACTGTAATACCATCACGGGTATGTGAAACTTTGATGGACCAAAAGGCCTCTGGTTTGAAGTTCTTAACTCTCATATACCTATCCACAACAAATCCCAGAGTTGGAAACTGACATGACCCTGAACAAGTAGACCGATTAGCAAATCATGCATGCCGAGTACAAAAAAGCCATGAATATATAAATTACCGTAACTGATTATCTTTTCAGCCAATGCACCTCCCAGTGTCTGAAGCTGAAGCGTTTGAAGTCTCGTGAAAGCTGCTCCGATGCGCAGATCTAGCTCAATTCTAGCAGCCACAGCATCCACTTGGCGTTCATCAAGCCCAGTTGGTCTCCGAGCAGCTTCTAACACATGCCTATATATAAAATTATATGTTAAATTCTGATTAATTTTATTCTGGAAGGCATCCATACGTTCGTTCGGTATTGCTGAATCTTGCCCTTTTGATTTCAATGCTTGGGTTACCAAGCACAGCCTGGTCTCGGACTTCAGAGCCTATGTGCTCTCCTTCTCTATCACAGTCAGTCCATATAAAGAGAGCTCTGGAATCTCTGGCTTGTCTCTTGATATTCCGAGCTATGCCGAGTTTTTCCTAATAAAAGTACATTAGTTTGGTATTATCCCTTCGAACAGATGGACATTTAGGACACTCAGACTTTATCAACTGCAATTATAACATTCGCGGCAAAGAGTTGAGAGGGGTTGCAAGAATTCCAGTTTCTATATCTGGGTTCAAAGTCTGAAGCTGTTAAATGTCCTAGGACACTGGTCATAACAACGGAGCAGCTACCCCACGGGGGCCCGAATGTGAAATCAAATTCGTAGTTTTTGACATATTGATTGCCTTCAATTCCAGACTTGTAGAGAACAATATTAGTTTGCCCTCTGGTTTTAGGGGGACGATATTCATACAGTTCTTATGCGTCCACCAGATAGATGCTGGGCTACTAACTTAGCGATTGCAGGTTTCTCTGCAACGCATAGAATTTTGGAGACCATAAACGCGTCCGAGTACCGGCGTGGTTTGTCAGTTCATCGTGCACTAGATTTCAATTTCCAACTCTGGCTATCCTCTCCCCGTAAAAGCCGCGCGTTTGAAGGCGAAGTGTCGCCTGACGTTGAAGGCGCGCTAAACAAGGTTCAATTTATGTGCACGGTCCACAACCCTAAATCTCCCCTTTTTTTGTCGAAACGACGATCAATTCTACGTGTTAACAACAAACGGAAGGAAAAACGAGAGAAAGCTTGACGCTGCACAGGTTTTGTGCCAAATATTTGCCATGGCGTTACCGACTCTTCAATCTGTGGCTGATTGTGCTGATTTCACGCAGGCTGCTCTCCCTTTCCTTCACCAGCTTTCCTCTTTGCCTACGAGAGTGGTGGAGGCTGGTCTCAACGTCGATACACTGCGAGAAGTTTACCTATCAACAAACCCGCTTGTTATAGCATTTGGGTTCTCTCTATTTCTTGTCCCGGCTTTTGTACTTATCTCTGAAATCAACCGAAACTATTCTCAAGTTGATCGATTGTGGAGCATTTTACCCTCCATTTACAATGGACATTTTGCCCTTTGGTGCCGGCTGAAAGGCCTTGCCACAACTGAAATCAACACCATCTTTATTATTACATTGATATGGAGTGTAAGTGCAAGCAATTTATTATTCTACTCGCGTTAACTCCCTTGATTTACCCGGCTCAATGAACTAACTTTCGCGCGACAGGGCCGCCTTACTTTTAACTATTGGAGAAAAGGAGGCTATTCCATCGGTTCTGAAGACTATCGCTGGGATGCTGTTCGAAAAATGGTGAACAGTCCTGCCTCATTTTTCTTATTCAACGTCCTCTTCATCAGTCTCACTCAATCGGTCCTCCTATTCCTCATTACCGTACCTACTTATATATTTGTCCTTATCGGTACCCTTCGCGATGCGCCCAGTTTCGGGCTACCTGATCTTATATTTTCTCGGTTCCTCCTGTTTCTTATATTAATCGAACACTTCGCCGATCAGCAACAGTGGAAATTCCAGCAGGCCAAGAAACAATACCAGAAGACCGCCCGCGTTCCAGCAGAGTATAAGGATGTTTTTACGAGTGATGACTTGGACCGCGGGTTTGTAGTGTCCGGCCTTTGGGCCTGGTGCAGACACCCGAATTTTGTTGCTGAGCAAGCAATTTGGGTTACACTGTACCTATGGTCCGCTTACCGAGCGGAATCATACTTCAACTGGAGCGGAGTGGGCGCTTTTTGCCTTCTCCTACTATTCCAAAGCAGCACCAATCTAACTGAAAGCATCACGGCGAGCAAATATCCTGATTACAAGCAGTATCAAGCTCGAGTAGGGAAATTCATTCCACGCTTCAGCGTCGAGCCTTGAAGTGCGGCATCAAGAATAAGCGAATGTTCCATGTTTATTATATGTAAAGTTCTTTCACTGTTAACAATTTGGGGACATTTTGTTCCCCTCTCCATTATGTTACTCAGTGGGATAAGAACTGCCTACCTCAATGATAATATTAATTAGTTGATAATATAAACCCCTCATACATCTGTTCATAATTGAGAGTTCAGGTCAATTATGTCACAAAGATCAAGCCTTGCTACATTGCTAAAATCATTTATCTTTACTAATTTACAACAGGGTGTGGTTGTCTGGGAGATGAGAGGGAGATGGGGAGAGATGAGAGTAAATGAAAACAAAACAGCCATCGCTTCGCCAGATAGAAGGGTGTACAACATAATGGCCGCATATGGATTTCCCATTTTGATATGCTTTCCGAACGAACACTTCTACTAACACCTCAAACATCAATGATATATAGGAGATAGAAAAATGACAAATATTTAAAACATTACACCCAAACAAAGGAAAACAAAGGATTACAAATAGAATGGATGCGAAGGGTGAAGGGTGGGGTGAGCTAGATAGTACATGTATACGGAAGGGAGCGGCCGAGGAAGGTATTCCAAGCAAGAATATAGATCAGGGGTATTTAAGCAGGCGGTGATGAAGGTTTGTTGTCCTTAGTTTCCGCATCGTCGGCCTTAGGCGAACCAGTCAGAGTCTCAGCTGGTGGCGGTGGTTGTATCTTCCCACCAGTTCCATCAAAGTACTTAGCAAACTCTCCGGATTCAGGGTAGGGTCGCTTGCCAAGCAATCGGATCATATCATCGCGACTAAGTACTTCTTTGGAGAGAAGCTCTTCAGCAACTAAGCCAACTTCGGCTTTCTTCTCAGTTAAGAGGTCACGGCATTGCTTATAGGCCTCATCAACAAGACGCCGAACCTCCATGTCAATATTCCGGGCGGTCTCTTCCGAGAAAGGTTTGTGGAGCTGCTGCTGGTCCTCTTCGAAATACACTGTTCCAATCTTGGGGGACATTCCAAATTTGGTAACCATGGCAGTGGCCAAGCGAGTAACTTTGTTGAAGTCATCGCTAGCTCCGCTCGTCACAGTGTCGAAGTGTAGCTCCTCACTAACACGTCCACCAAGCGTCATGGCCATGCGGTCCATGAGTTGGTGTACATTCATAAGATAAGTATCACCCTGTGCTGGAAGGTACTGAGCATAACCTAGAGCTCCCTGACCGCGAGGAATGATCGAAACCTTTAGGAGCGGGTCTGCGTATTTGAAGTACCAACCACATATAGCGTGGCCAGCTTCATGGTAAGCAACAGTGCGCTTTTCTTCTGGTGATAACACAAGCGACTTTTTCTCCAAGCCCCCAACAACTCTCTCAATTGCTTGCTCGAAATGTGACATAACGACATGATCTGCGTGCATGCGGGCAGCTATAATTGTTTATTAGATTTAATTCGAGCATTGTAAAGAAAGAGAAGAGTACTTGCAACATACCAACTAATGCCGCTTCATTGACACAATTTGCGATATCAGCACCAGAGAATCCAGGAGTTAATGCGGCCAGTCGTCCTTTTAGGTATTCGATGTCCTCCTTTGTGACGATCTTCTTCAAGTGAACGCCGAAAATTTGCTTTCGTCCATCCATTGTAGGCTTATCGATAGCAATATGTCGGTCAAATCGCCCAGGACGCATCAATGCCTTGTCCAACACATCAGGTCTATTTGTGCCAGCTAGGACGACAACCTGCTCAGAAGTGTTGAATCCATCCATTTCAGTGAGTATTTGATTGAGAGTGCTTTCACGTTCATCATTCCCACCACCAAAGTTGGATTTCGATCTTGACTTTCCGATGGCATCAATTTCGTCAATGAAGATGATACATGGGGTGTTTTTGCGAGCAGTAGCAAATAGGTCGCGAACACGGGAAGGGCCAACGCCAACAAACATCTCCACGAATTCAGAGCCGCTGACGCTGTAGAAGGGAACAGCGGACTCGCCGGCAGTCGCCTTTGCTAGTAGAGTTTTACCGGTACCTGGCGGCCCAGAAAGAATGGCTCCTCGAGGTATTTTCGCACCTAGCCTCTGGAACTGTTCCGGCCTCTTGAGGAAGCTGACGAACTCCATGATTTCTACTTTGGCTTCATCCATACCAGCGACATCTGCGAATTTTGTCTTTACATCAGTCTCATGGTTGAATTTCCTGGCTCGGCTCTTTCCAATGCCAAATATTCCACTCTGGCCACCGCCTCCTGCACCACCGGCCCTTCTTGATAACCAAAAGAATGAACCGATGAGGAGTAGAGTGGGTCCAAAGGATAACAAAGTAGCTAGCCATGGAACTTCATCGGCATATGCGACTGGAATCCGTTCTGAGCTAGGGATGTTTAGTTCTCGGTGAGCGTCATCCAGGCGTCTCTCAAAAGCTTCGACAGAACCTATTGTGAAGTAGTAGTGGAAGCTCATGTTGGTAGCTGGCGACTCGGGATATAACTTAGCAACCGCATCTCGGTCCAACTCAACTCTTACTTTGCTGCGGTTGACGACGGTGAGTTTCTCAACCAAGCCTTTGTCGAAAAAGGTATTCCTAAATTCCTGCCATGTAATATCTCGTGACGATTCGCCAGGGAAAATACTTCGGTAGACATAGTAAGAGATGAAAGCAGCAATCAAGAAATTTCCGGCGTCGAACTTAAAGTCCATTATCCTAAACTGGGGTCCCTTTGGCTGGTCCTTATCATCATTGCGTTGCCGTTTCTTATCGGATTTTGACTCCTCTTTCGATCCCTCCCTGCTTTCCTCTTTGCGGCCTTCATTGGACTCTTCCTTGGGTTTCTCCTCTGTTGGAGCTTTGTTGTCTTTTCTCTGCTCCTCTGACGAGTTTTTAGAGTGCTCATCGGCAACACTAGAAGCTAACTTCACAGAGTGTTTATTCAGAACCCGCACAAGCTTCGCCGCGTTTGACAGGCTGATATGTTTCGACTCTCTCACTTCTTCCAGAGCATTTTTGACCTCTTCTGGCAAGCCCTCACGCTTGATGACTTCCGCAGCAGTGTCGATAAGTTTCGCCTGCGATTTAGGTAGGTTCACCTTAAGCTGGTCAACGATCTTATCGAACTCCTCTCGCTGTTCCGCATTGAGTGCATATTTCGACTGGGAGCTTTCGCTTGTTTGACTTCCACTGGATTGACTCTGCGAAGATCGCTCCGCCTGTTTCCCAATATCCTTTTCTCCGTTCTTTTTATCCTTGGGATGTTCCGAGCCACCCGTGCTATTGGTTGCATATAGCCGTGAGCGGTTTGCAACAATGAAGGCCGATAGCCTGGATTGGGGGAGGGAGGCAGAAAAAGGTGTGCGCGAGAAAGCCGAATATCCTGCAGCTCTTCTAGAGTACTGAGCGAGGCCGCCGGGGCGCCGTAGGAGTGTGGCCATAGCCAGAGCAGAGCACGAGGGAGGCAGGCAATCTATCAAATCAGTTAAGGTTCTAGAAACCAGCTCTGAAAGAACAAAGCCACAATCCACAAAGCAACTCTTAGAGACGACTAAAGAGCTGCCTCTCGCTAAACAGAGGGGAAATAGAGAGCGAGGTTGATGTAAGACCGAGATGAAGTCGAGATGATTGCCAAATCGGTTGAGCTTCGCAAGTTGTTCCTGTTCCGAATTTTTCGCCAGCTGCTGACTCATCACCGATCAGGGTTCGGGCGATGATTTGGGCCGTTCGGACTTAAGCGGGTTTTACCAGGCTGACATAGTTGATGATATAAAATAAAGATAGGAAACATAACACAGCTGGGAACGAGAAGGTGAAGATGAGATGAGAATTCATTTGTTAGCTAGTATCTACGATTATGTATTCACTACGTACTCCCGCATTAATATTCCTATCCACCCATGCTCGAATATACCAGGCATCAAAATATCAACAGGGGAAATTCCTCGAAGGGATGCACATGAGGCCGGCCTTCCAGAAGCCAATGATCCCTTAAAAGATAACAGCAATCAAACCGAAAAGAAAATAACTCCTTCATGGCCCATACACCTACGCTAGCGGGAGACAATAAACCGCTCCATATAGAAAATTCAAGCCCATAGCATTGTGTTGAGTGAGCTCCCCAGGTAGGTGGGACAACTTTTATTACTCTGTAGCCCCATTAGCAAATGGAAAGCCATTCGACATGTCTGCCCAGTCCCATTCAAGGGTCATCGGCATCTGCCATAAATCTTGTGGGACAAAAGGCTGCTGGAAGGAGGAGACATCCAGGGGCATTGACTCATTAGGAAGCTGTTGGTCGACGCTGAACATTCCAGGGTTGACGTTTAACCCAGGGCCACCAATGATATCGTTTAGCTCCTGGTTAAATCTTGCGGTATTCTTCAATTGTGCGGCTGAAATATCCTCATTTATCACTGTATCAAATGCGTTCTGTGACGATGTCTGAGGTGATGGGAATGTACTTGAGGATGCGCTTGATATGTTATTATTAATGTGGGCCGGGAATGGTGAAGTAAATGGCTGGTGTTGGGCGTTTGATACTGTGGGATTCTCTGTCATCTGTGTCTGAGGACGCTGGGTATCCTTATCGTTGACATGCGGCGTTATGTTAGACTCCTTCTGTTGTTGTTGTTGTTGTTGATGCTGCTGCTGTTGCTGCTCTTGTTGCTGCTGCTGTTGTACATCACTTGTCTTTCTTTTACGCCTTGATTGACATTCTTTCTCGGCTCGATCTAAAGCCACCTTCGCTATTCTTTCGAATTCGCTGCAGACGCTAAGCATACGTTTGACGCTACCATTTGATTCATCAGTAGCGAGCATTGAGAGGAAGTTAACCACAAGGTTCATTAATTTAACGTCCGATCGAGCTCTTGCATCAAGCGGATTTTGTAAGATATTGGCAAAAAGTGTTACCAAGGATGATATAGGGAAATAGAGAATCAACCTACAATATTAGTTTCCTGTATCTTAGCGGAAGGTATTTTTAGATGTGTTACTCACCATACACAAGCAAAATCGCCCTGCGGAATGTACTTAATCAGGTTAATCGAAGCTCGGGCAGCTGAAACACAGAGTATAGCAGACGAGAACACCCGAGGGTTCAGTGGTCGAGCATTTAGTCCTTGTATGGCGTAGTTTGAAAGACGACTTGTCCAATACCCGTGATGAACGGACATTCGATGTATAGTCGTCAGGCAATTGTAGTATGCGAAATGAAGAACAACGATGGGCAAGATCAGAGGCCTGTGAGTGGTTTTTATTTCGTGTTCCGGCCTGAAATCTATAGGAATGCTATTCTTCCATTCCTCAAGTTCATGATCCAACTCGCCAATAGTGTTGAGAAGTTCACCGTCGGACTGTCGAGATGCTTTGGTCGAATACAATTGTCTGTAAACCCTGCTCTCAATAGTTGCAAATATGCACATGAGACGGAACAGATTGATTTTCCCTTTGTTATCCGAAAGAGGAACATTGCCGATGTTATCAGGGGGATCTTCACTGGGTAGCTCTACATTCATATCGTCATCATCTTGTACAGGAGGACGACCGGATCGGAGACAGATGCTTTTAACAATGTTAGTAATTGTAAAAACTTCCATGAACCTTAACATTATTGTATGCTTACTCTTTATCTAGGATATAGGCGATCCAGAAGACACGCTTCCGTTGTTCAAGCTCCACAGGGTTTAGACCAAAGCCTGAACAGCGCTTATGTAGACCTATACTGTGAGAGAGACGGATTCCGGCTGCAACAAGGAAGAAGGAAGGTTGAGGATTTGGTGTTCCTTGAAGAAATAATGCCTATAGGATCCCATAAGTGTCAATTAAAGGCGTGAAAAGAAAAAGAAAAAAGAAAAAGTGCAAATGCTTACCATTCCAAGCAAAGCCTGTACACTTAGGAGGTCTGTATTTCTCATGGTAAGCTCTGTGAGCACGCCCATGGCATTCTTCAGGTAAAGCCACGCCTTTTTGTCTTCTTCCTGTGGAGCAAGGTTGCTCATTACCCGTAACCTATGGGCGATTGCCAAAGCAACGTTGATGCTAGCCCACCATCCAGAGCCCTCGTAGGGATCTCTTGAATATTGCTTCTCAACTAGATGCATAAAAGTAGGCTCGTGGAAAAGAGGGAATATACAATTGAAATTTTCAAAATAATCCCTGAAGAGAGATAGCGCCTCTTCCTTAGGTGGTAAAGGTTTGAAAACCCGACGGGCAAATATGTCGCTGAATATTTCTGGTTTCCAGTATATCCATTTGTTATCATCCACACATGCAGATGAGATCATATGTTGGAAAGAGGAATCGCCCGTTTTCTCATTTACCCACTGGATGCCTTTGGGCGAGAATATTGAGAACCCAGAGGAGGATCCTGTGATGCAAGATTAATAGCTACCCACAAGGAAAATCAGCCTTGAGTAAAAATACCTATATATCGCGTTTCTCCACAGTTATTTGTAACTAAAGAGCACATCATATCTGAGAGGGAATCAACCTCTGCCTCTGACTCTTTTTGGGAATCTGGGGAGCCTGCAGCTGATGAAGCTCTCGGACTAGCATTCAAGTCACCACGGGGAGTAGAATTCGAAGGCGACGCCGACGAGCTCATAAAGGCATTGTAAGTAGGAGGTATGGTCGATGCCTTGGGAGGTTGCGGCTGTTGCTGTTGCTGTTGCTGTGAGGTCGGTGACGCTGCTCTGTCTGCCAATCTTTTCTCCAGTACTCCTAGATCGGTCTTTCTAGCATCAGTCTCGGATAAAAGACCAGACAGCCGAAGTAATGATTCCATACGGCCTAGTCGGTTCTCGAGGCCTTCAATGTACTTTGCCCTAATTCATGAGTCACTCTAGGTTAGACAATAGCTCCAGTCGAAAATGCTAATATGTTTAAGGAATTCGTACCCTTTAGGGGGATTTCGTTTCTTTTCCACTTGCGTAAAAATACACTCGGACTTGTAGTTTATGCAATGCGAACATTTTGGCATTTTCCCATCACATTTTATCTTCTTCTTCCTGCACATATCGCACGCCTATAGGTAGACAGTATAGGTATTAACTCGAAAATCCCGTAATCCAGAGTGATAGGGCAGTCTACATACTCTAGCAATCCTCCTCCTTTTTGCATCGTTATTATCTTCCGCGAAAGCTGTTCCAGGGTGGGATGATGTAAGGGGAGAACCATCCGAGTTGGAGGCCCCAAACGCTTGCGGCATTTGATTGGCATTTGAGCCGCGGTTATCGAATGTGGTGGCATCCATATCTCCTCCTGTCATGTCCATTACAGCTCAGGGAGCTTTTTTTTGCGGGGAGCCCAGGCCACAACGTTTTCGAAGTAGAGGCACCGCCGTTCGTGGTGTTCGGAAGCTGTGCCCAAGGCTGCACGAGCTATCCGGCCAAGCCTATCAAATACCAGGGGTTGGAGCAGGAGTCAAGATACCGAATAGGTTGGTCCGATGCACCCAAAAGCTGTGGTATAAGAAAGCTGCGACTCCGTCTCTCTGAATGCTTGTGGCGGATAACGGGCTAGGAAAATGTCTGCCTGCTTATTAATAAGGATACGCTGCACAGGAGAGGGAAAAGTACATCAGGTAGTTGGCAATAATAATGCATTGTATGTCGTAGCATATCACTTGCGCGCACCGCGACTTACTCCCTGGTTTTGTTGCTGGAAGATGGCTGCTCGTCCTTCCCTCCGCGAGTCTTGACTGATGCCTTGCAGCTTTCAGCGGCGGCGATAGCAGCCTCGAGGCGTCGATAAGGCACGTGAAGCTGACTAATCCAAGTAACCTCCTTCTGTTACTACCTAGGTACTGTTACTACTACGAGGGTCAGCTTCTCCCACCATCCATTAATATTCGTATCAAACTAGAACCAACTCGTTATAACAGTTCTTTCTGACTGCTATCATACGAAATGAAAAAAGTATGAATAAGAATCGCCGAGTCAGAGCAACGCAAAGGGGGGCCCTTCGCGCTTCCGGGGTCTTCGGCCTGCGCCTCACCCCCCTGTAACTACAGGGTTTACAGCATTCCGTCTATAGACATCGAGGCAACTTGATGGCCCCGATTTTTTTTTAATTGGTCCACACGGACGGACAAACGGTTGAACCTCCTCCGGCAGTTCGAGGGGGATTGCTGCAGCGGAGAGGCGGGATGTTCTAACTCCGACTTCCTCAGCCGTCTCGCCATGCCGCTACGGAGTACGTTTCTGGTCAACAGTGCGAGGGGATATTTCCGTGTTACAAACTAGCCGGCAGCCTAGTTCAAGCTATTTCAAGGTTGAAGCACCACGCCGGTCCGCTTGATTTTTATGTGAAGCCGCGTCATAACAACCCTGGCTTCACTCGAAATCCTTCCAGGGCAAATAACGCACCCAAAACGAGACAGATGCTCCTTGCATCATGCGACTTGCTATTTTTTCGCCCATCGATAACAAACTAGCTCGACTTCAGGGGGGGTTAGATATAAGCTTAACTAGCTTAGCGAATATTTTAATGTCTGCTGGCTTCCCCAGACAGAGGGGCATGGCTTGGTGTCATATTCTCTTTCTACTGGCCGGGAAATGCTCCCTAGCTATTGGCTCAGTTTTTCCCCCGAGCTAATTATCCGATTTCTATTGGTTAAGGCATAGTTAATTTTTTTTAACGTATTGCAGCCTACGGAGTGCTTGGCCATCCAAAGGTTGAGGAAATAGTTATACAAATTGATTAACTAATAGGCCGTCTGCCTTTCTGCGCAAGACTTAACTAATTAGTTATAGGAAGATTGTAAATATCCCCCGGGTTTCTGCTAGGGGAGAGCGCGCGGTCGATTACCCCATAACCAGCAGATGTACGGGTTACATTTGGCCCTCTAGAGTAAACGGACTATCATTCATTTGCTTTTCTGGAATCGTCACGATAGGCGTGGTCTGGGATAATATTTTAATTTGGTCAATTTGTTCCTTACGCTTCTCAAACGACACCAGGAGAAAAATAACAGCTATGTGGATGCGGTAACTAACTAATTAGTTATTGGAATCTTCGGCGCTTTGCGAATACCTTACTTTGTTTGCGTTCGTTTTTGCTTGTCTTCATTTCTCTAGATACCATGTTCTCAAGAAACCCAGGCCATCGAAACCGCTTCAGTCGGTTCTTCACCAAGGCCATATGGAAAATGGCTACTCAGAAGGGTGGGTAATCTCCAAACCTACGTTTTAACATGAACAGAGCAAACTAAGTTAAACTAGATTGGAACTCGACTGAGAGCTTTTACAATTATACCCGAGGACGTTTTGTTGTTAACGAGGCCGAGGAGATGCGGCAGAGACATGTGCGCTTTGATGTGAATGAACTGGCTCGGTTGGCTGCAAATACTGTTGGCGCAAAGGAGGTCGTCAATATCGAAAAATGCGCAGATGGCCTTTTCAACAAAGCCTTCGTCTTCACCTTCGAGGATGGAAAACAAGTAGTTGGAAAGGTTCCCAATCCGATTGCCATTATTCCCCATCTCACAACCGCTAGTGAAGTTGCAACTATGGAGTTTGTATGCCTACCAATCCAATGACGTGATATCATCAAGCTGAAACCTTATGCTGACCTCTCTGTCTTTATTCATGTTTGAGTAGATGAGAACTGTGCTTAAGACCCCCACTCCACGAGTCTATGCATGGAGCTCCAGAGTTGATGATAGCAAAAATTCTGTGGGAGCTGAATTCATCATCATGGAGAAGATTTCAGGCATTCCATTGGGAAAAGTCTGGGAGCGTCTCTCAGGAAGCGACAAGATGAAGGTTCTAATTAACATCTTCAAATATCAGAATGAATGGGCGTCTGTTGCATTCTCAAGATTCGGAAGTCTATACTACTCGGGAGATGTAGACATCCTGCCTGCGGACTATCTTTATATCGACAAGAATGGGAATCAAGTCAATAACCCTAGATTCGTCGTAGGACCAGCTTCACACAACGAATGGTTTATACACGGACGGGATTCCGTTAGCTGTGATAGAGGCCCCTGTAAGCATTCATGCCTTCCCCCTAAATATTTGGTCTATTTACCACTTTCATCTAGGGAATACGGTGATCGACTATAGGAAGGCAATCGCCCATCGAGAGATCACGGCTTCTCGGTTATTACCATTCCCGAGACAGACCTTGCTGATTTACGGCCCCCGTCCACTCTACTTACCAACTGTTGAGAAAAAAGTTGCAGCTTTGAAGTGCTCTTTGCAGTCTTTGGAGACTTTTCTCCCTGAGGATCCAGCTCTTCTCCGGGGCCATCTCTGGCACACTGATTTCCACCATGAAAACATATATGTGAATCCAGGGAAACCTACTGAAATAACTGAAATTATTGACTGGCAATCAACCCCGATAACGCCACTATTCGACCAGCCCTTAGATCTTCCATTTGTGAACTATGATGGCCCAGATATCGGTGAAAATCTCGAAATACCTGTGTTGCCTGACGATTTCCAATCAATGCAGGAGGATGAAAAAAAGAAAGTCCACAAGAATTACATGGATAAGTCTGCTGTGGTTGCATGGCGTCTTCTTCTGAAGCACAAGAACCCGGCGTATTACAGAGCTGTCTTGTTTAAGCATACCCCTATCGGATTGACTCTAGAGCTGTCTCGTCAAGTCTTTACCATCGGGGAGTCCTCTCTTCGCACTATATATGCAGAAATGGGAGAAGACTGGCAGGAGTATGCGCCCAAAGGGTCGGACATGAACCCTGTCCCATGCCCTTTCAACTTTTCACAGGCCGAGATAACAGAGATTGATGAGGATGAAGAGGCCACAGCCAGTAGCACAAGGATCGCAGCTCAGATTCAAGAGCACCTGGGACCATTATACCCTCACAAAGGTGTTATTGAACATGAAAACTACGAGGAAGTAAAGAAAATTCTAGGAGAGATTAAGCAGGAGGTCATTGAACATCTGTTCGAATCCACAGAAGATATCCAGACATTTGATAGTCAGTGGCCATACAGAGATTAGGTGTCCGCCAATTCGACAAGCAGCTTAGTTGTTATTGGCTATAGAAATACCCAAATTTAGGCTAGACACTGTTACCTGATTCAAAGTGAGGAGGTATTCCACTCATTGACTGTATTGTGCTATATTATGTCGGGTTATATATCAAGAGTAGATAGATTGGCAGGCAAATATTTACAGTTGATTCAAGACTTTGCATCGGAATGCCAGAATGTCTCCTGTTACATTGATTCCAAGCTGTCACTTCAAAGCTCGGGAGGCAGTTACTGACAGCAAACTCGATACTAATAAATTAGCAGTAAATTCCTAGTATTTTTTCATTTTCTTTTTCTTATCATTTATTAACTCTTTCACGTTTCCCCATCCTGGGACAAAAAAGCCAAGCTATAAAGGCTTTAACTAAAATTTATACAACATCGATTTTCTAGAGTGTATTCTCCAGGCGGCGTTCCTTTCGGAGAGCGCGCAGTTTAGCCCTAGCCTCCTCCAGGGGTACGAGACTGCCCTTGGTCTGTGAACTAGGGTCATCACGGTTACGAATGTTAACTGAACGAGACTCCTTCTCTTGAGCGCCCACAACTAAAGATTTTGTTAGTACAAATGTTCCCTCCATGTAGAACATAGGATACGAGAGTTCAAAAGCTTACCAAAAATGAAATTATACTGTGCCAGTTGACCATTTCGAATCTTCTTTTGCATAGTGTGGCCGCTAAGGTCAATGTCGACATTCAACTTATCGCCTCGAAGAATCTCCTGAAGTTCTTCGACATAGTCGTTGGCACTGGCCATGACAGGGACAATCAAAATCTGTCGGGGGCTAAGCCAGAATGGCCATTTTCCACCAAAATGCTCTATCAAAATTCCAAAGAAACGCTCAAAGCTTCCAATGATAGCTCTATGGATCACAACGGGTCTAGCTCTGCCTGGGCCTGGGGTAGAGGAATCTGAGGGCTGGGCTTGAGCTGGATTCGAGTCGCCCTCCGCTGGTTTAGCTTCGGCCTTGGACGTAGCTGGAGCAGCAGATTTAGGAACAGTCTCTCCAGTCATGTACTCGAGTTTGAAATTAAGAGGTAGCTGGTAGTCGAGTTGAATAGTTGCACACTGATGTTCTCGCTTCAGAGCATCGGAAATGGTGATATCAATCTTTGGTCCGTAGAAGGCACCATCACCTTCGTCAATTTCCCAGTCTGCACCCTTGAACTTTGTGAGAGCTTCTCGCAATTGAGCTTCGGCAAAGTCCCAGGTCTCGAGCTTTCCGAGGTATTTCTCAGGTCGGGTAGAGAGCTTCAGTTTGAAACTGAA